CAGAGAAGGCCTTGCAGGCCCTGACGGCCCACCACTGGTAGAATGTGGCTTTGTGTCTCGTAGTGTGAGCAGAGCATCAGACTCTGACAGTAAAAACATGTCTGAAGCACGATGTTTCAGGACAGAGGTCATCCCAGATCCTGTAAACTAGTTCATTTGTCTTGTACAATAAATACTCAAATGTAGATTTTTAAGACCTCCTGTTTCTAAAGCAGTTAGAAACGTATTGTCTGTCGTTGTAAAAGCCTCAAACATGTAGTGCTTCAAAAAAACATTTTAATAACCCTAGATCTAGCACCCTTCGCATTCGATGCGCAAGCCATGTTGATGTCATTTTCAGACGCATGCGTCCGGTGCCGGCTTCACTACAGCAAGTATAAAGCGCACTTTACAATCCAGAGAGTGTGTGTGTGTGTGTGTTCAGGACTCGATGTCCAGAGAACATCACTGATGATGACTCACTCTGCCACTCTTGTTTGTCCTTGCACACACACACACACACACTACAGCGAGTGAGAGATGAGGAAAGAGAGAGGCTGACTCTGAATCAGTAACAGACGATGGATGTTGCCTTAAAGGGATAGTTCAGGTGTGTTAGAGTGGGGTTGTATGAGGTATTTTACGTGGCAGAACACAGGAGTCTCTGGTCTACTGCGGCCCCTCGGGGACTCTAACCCTAACCCTCCATCGGTGCATTTGTTGTGTGACTTTTGTTCGTCTGAATTCACCAAAGTCAACAATAGTGATTTCACCAGCGTCTGGTGGCGTTGATGAGAGCACAGATCAATTCAACCGGCAGAGATCTCTGCGAGATGAACCGGTGAAAAATTGAACACGCATCATATGCAGTGAGCACGAAGCTTTTATGAGGTGCAACAGGTCCACAGCAGTACACTGCTCTGCTCCTGTGCTGATGCTGCTGTCATCTACTGTAGTAACACAGCGACTATGGACGAGTACCTCATGCAACCACACTACACAACACCTGAACTGTCCCTTTAAGCTGCACAGCCAAAATCCCACCAGCGATGTCAATGTGAGAGGGACTCCTCTGATCTAATAAAAAGCGTCTCCATCCTATGCTGTGTTAAAGGACGGCCCATCACCTGTAGTTTATCCTCGTAGTTGACCTCCTCTCTACTGGGCCGGAGCTCCTGGGTCAGCTGGAAGGAGTTGGCCACATGCTCGGGAGACACAAAGTCGTTGATGACCTGGACACAGCTGTGGAGGTTCTGGACCTGACGGAGAGAAAGGACATGAGGTCTCAGATAACAGTGGACATGTCGTATTGTTGAGCTACAGCACTGTGAGGCTGTGAAAACGTCCATTCATCATAAAACATATATAGCGGCAAAGTGAAACACATTCAATATGATTTACAGCGCTATGTGATTTGTGACATCGGACGGTGCAAAAATGTGCTTTTATATTATATTAAAAGAAAGAGGATGTGTGAGGATGCATGAAGTGTCAATTCAATTCATCTTAACCACGAATCATTTAAGAATGAGGCTGATTGTAATAGTCCGTCTCTCAGTACTTCCCTCTGCAGTCCGTGACGCTCCGAGCACATTGGTCCCTACTGCAGATCTTTAAAGAAACACCTCACAAGTATGTTGATTTAAAAAGAAAAGGCTTAATACTTCCACAAACAGCAGTCACTCAAAGCGTGTGAGTATTCCATATACCTGATGCATGGCCCCTGCTGGTATGAGTACAGAGTCTCCCAGGAATTGAACCACAGTCCAGCCCTGGACTCCGTGTTCATCCAGCAGCCGCTGACGCTGCTTCCTGCTCAGGTATGAGCCCTGCTCTCTGATTGGGTCCTGGTCCGCCGTCGCGTCCGATCCCTGCTCCTTACAGAGCCCAGATGGTGGGAGAGAGAGAGGCGGTGGTGAGCTTCACTTCGCTACATTTGCATTTGAAAAGCAGCCGTTGGTTTTCTTTATCAGAGTGCTGACCTGGTGCAGGAACTCTCGCACTTTGTCCATGTCTTTGTTGAGGTAGATGTGCCACAGAGCCCCTGGTGTCTCGCTGGAGTCTTTGAGCCTCCTTCGGACCCCCTCATCGATATCCTCCTCCTCCAGACGCTTCAGCACTCCTGCACACACACACACACACTCCTGTTTCTGAGGCTGAACTGAATGAATTGATTTTCCATCCATCCAACACTCGCTCTGCTGTGATACATAGAAAAGATGCTGGTAACTGAATACATGACTTAACTGGATACATTTCTTTGATATTGATTCTTAAAATATGGTTTCTAAATACTGAATGTAAAAGAGAATGTTTTCTAAGGAGGTGCAGTTGAAGAAAGGAGAACACCTTTCTCTTTCATCTTCCATTAAGGACCACTGTGGTTGGAATTGTGGTTCCATTTTTGAATTTGCCAGATCAAATGGTTTAGAGAACAGAACATCACGTCAGGAGTTACTTTCTGCCGCTCTAATGACCAGACTCACACATCTGCAGCAGCAGGAGGACACACTACATGAAGGTTAGTGTTAAAGCAGTGCTTCCCAGACACTTGCCACAATATCAACATTGATCGCCACATATTGATTTAAAATGAAAACCACAAATAGAAGCTAAATTCTGTTTGGAAACACTGTAAAGTCAAGTCGACTCGTCCAAGACAAGTATCTATATATTTCCAAGGACGATGAGTGTCAGCGTGTGTCTGTTGTATTGTGATGAGTGGTGGGGGACTCCACATTTAATATTCAGTGCTTACTTCCCAAGATGCAGCAGTCCCAATGAGTGGTGACAGTGGGACTTAGCTGCATGTTTCTAACAGCATTCACAGCTTCTGGCTGCTCCAGTTTACAATCAGAGGTCTGACACCTTTATTATTCCTCCATCTGGTTATCGATGCGTTCCCTCCGGTACACCTTATCTGACAATACTTTCATGTGAGTCCACCCAGTCTGTGAGTCCATCACTTCACTGACTCGAGGAGGCCTTACCAGTTTTGGACAGGACTCCGTTGCCTTTGGCCACTCCTACATAGACCAGAACGGAGACGACATCGGAGACTTCCACGTGGAGGTTGGCGGTCCCGAAGTCCTGGTCCTGAGACGCAGCTACACCTGCAGGGAGACAAACAAGGTATTGATAAGAAGAAGGGCAGAGGGGGATTCTATCTGCACAGCATGTTCACAGAGAAAACAGTAGAACATGTATTCTACTTAATACTAACTGGAATCAAATCCTTCTGAACTACACACATGTATGTGAGGTGTATATGGGCAGAAGGATCAGTCAGCGGGTCTAACCCAGGATCCAGATGTTTGTCAGGTGTAGATGTATCAGGTAATTAGTGCAGAGCTACGAGCACTTCCAACTTGGTAAACGATCTATCTTCTGAGCTCTGAGGCTATCCAATCTCTTTTCTCCTCAATCAGTGAGATCCGTGCTGCTGTTCGTTCCCGTCCGTACCGTAGGCACAGCACAGTCTGGGCCCCAGGTCGGGCCGGACAAAGAAAGATGGCAGGTGGGAGGCCAGGTTGAGGCTGCCCTCTGGATCCGAGTACTCTGGCAGGGGCAGGTTCTTCATCAAGTCATCATATCTGCAAAGAAACACCTCTTTCAGATGGGCTCACAAGGACTTCTTAAGACCCAATCTCATGAAATGCATTATTATTACCATCAGCAAATGTTTAGCAAATTAGAGTTTTGCATTTATGTTTTTGGTTTGAAAGCTTAAGATTCAACAGCACAAGAGTCAAAGTGTAACTTGGGTATTCTTCAACCCTAGTTTGTCATGATTTTGTGTCTAAATGACCAATTCTATACAACTATTTATCTGATAACATTACGGAAAGAACCTTTCACTTCCTGTCTGTTGTTGAGTCTAACTCGAGGACAAATGTCCTATTGAAATCTGTCCTCATCCACATTGTGGAAGTCAGCTCGATATTCAGCCATGACATTGAACATCTTTTAGAAAACACCAACTCAACAAACTGACAGCAGCGGCTCTCCTCTCTGCTACTCACCTTCCCACCGTGTTCATCAAGTCACATGACACGATAACAAGCAGACCGGATCAGGACGCAGGTAAAGAAGAAGCTTTCATTTCTCTCTTCTTTGTCATAAAGACACCTATAATAACAATCAGAGCCTCTCAGGGGCAAAGAGCAACTCTTCCAGTGGACGCACATTGATGCTGAGGAGTTGCCCCGAGCGAGAACATTGCAGCTCGTTTGGCTGCAGCGTTCTCCCTCAATACTGGACCCCAGAAAACATGGAGGATAAGTTCCAGGGTAAAGTTATCTTTGAAGTGTGCGTACCTGGAGGGCATGAGGGCCATGAACTCCTCCCCAGACGGCCAGTCCTTCAGTCTGTAGACCATCGGTTCTCCATCCTTGGACTTGGGTCGCTCTGAACAGGTAAGAAGACTTTAGTTAGTCACTGATTCATCTCAGCTGATCCAATCCATCAAACAGAGATTCGAGAGATTGGGGATGAACTCACTGGTGATGTCCTCAAATCCATCCCAGAACTCCTTGATCCCGGAGTTGGACACTACCTGGTCTTTACAGTTGAGGAGGTCTCCCTGATGGTCCGCAAACTCCTGGTTGAAGGACTCAGCTTTCCACAGGCCGCCATTGAGTCGCTTATGGATCCCCGACACCAACACAGGCTGGACAAACACAAACACACGGCTGCCGTTATCACTGGTGACTGTTACTCTGACTGCTGCTGCTGCTGTTAGTAGGACCGATGTGTACCTGTCCTTGTCTCCAGCACTCTCTGAACAGCTTCCAGTTGTTCTGGTTGCGGTGATCTTTGAGCCACAGTAACCGTCTGTTGTTTAACCAGCAGTGGGGAATATCTGGATACTGATTGGTCGATTCCTCTGGCACTGCAGCAGTAACGTGCGCAGACTTCTTCCTGTCTGGTTTGGCATCCTCAGTGATAGCAGGGGCGGGGTTGTTGTTGTTGTTGTTGCCCGGGGTGACGGGCTCGTGCTTGATTGACAGCTTGGTGGTGATGCTCTGGCGGCTGGCGGGGATTTTATTCTCAACCACAGAGGCAATGATGTCGTCAAGGATATTGGGCATGCTCCTCCCACCTTTTCCAGTCTATAGATAGAAAGCAAAAACAGCATTTCAATATTCTAAAACAATGTTTCTAAATGTGAAAAGCTCTGCGGTGTTTATTGACACGACTGGGACGTAAAGCAGATGAATCCATTCATTTCCAAACTCATCCTTGATGACATCAGAAAGGTGTCGATGTGTGTACCTGTGACGCAGTAGAGTAGACCGGGGCAAAGGCAATTCCTGCGTCGGTAGAGCCCAGCTTCAGCTTCCCTGCTGTGGTGGTGAGCAGGTCTCTGAGTGTGGAGCCCTGCTCCGTACTGTTGGCCACCAGTGACGTGGTTTTACACTGCTGCAGGACCTCCAGGCTGTCCCCCACCTTGTCTTCCTTCACTGATTTACCCAGCAGCACTGACTTGTTTTCTGTAAGAGAAAGAGGAGGAGGTTACTGACAACATACTATCTGGAGGTGAAATATAGAAAATGACTTTACGAGTGAACGGGTTAATCTAGGAGCCATAAAGGCCATCAAATGGCTCCCTTCCCCTCACCTTTCTTTTCCTCCCTGGATTTTTGCTCTGCCAGTTCAGCCAGGAAGTGCAGAGGCGACTGGGACTCGGGCGGGGTGACGGGAGCACTTCCTGCATCACTGCCTGGACTGCTTCCCCCACCGCCTCCTCCGTTGGTCTCCACCTTAGTTCCTCCTTGGTCGGAGTTCTGCTGAGAGCCCGGCTCAGCCTTCACCAGAGACAGTTTGTTACTGTGGTTCAGGACGTTCTGCAGAACCTGGCAGAGAAAGGGCGAGGGTTACTCACAAGCTCAAACTGACTCAGGATCAGGATGTTCAGGATGTAAAAGAAAGTCAGAGGGAGACGGTGAAAAGTCACTCCAAACAAGTGCTCATCCTCCAGATCCTGTAATCTACCCAACCACTGTCTGAATAATTCATTACAGTATGACTCCAACTCACAGAAATACTTTGCATGTGTATATATCATGCATATCTCAAATAAAATAAGATGCAGAACTTCTTTTGCACCTGATTTATTGCTTTCATTTGGTTGCATATGGAATCAAGCTGTTAACATGTCTACTGTGGCCTTCTACAGATCAACACGTGTCTGTAAGCACCATTTACAAGAAGCACTTTCTACAACGCCCATGTCTATAATGCATTATAAACATACTTATAATACGTTATCTGCTTATAGCACTGTTTCATTAAGCACACATAAATATCCATAACTCTAAGTGATCTTTGTTGGCTTTCAGAAAGGTTGAAATTAATTCTATAACATTCCGTGTGATGTTCTTGCATATATTTAATGACATTTTTTCACTTTACTAAAGCAAACAAAGACCACTTAGAGTAGCTTATAATCCCACTATAAAGCATTTGAACTGATTATATTGCATTATAATAATTAACAGCATAATGTTATTTGACCTTATAAGTCTACAATGCTTTAGAATGTGTTCTGGTTCTTGTCTGATTGTCTGATGTGTGGTTGCAGCAGTACCTGTGAGACCCCGTTGGTGGCTGGTAGTTTGGTGAGGAGGTTCTGCTTGTTGGTGCAGGGACAGTGGGGTTTGATGTTGTGTTTTTCTCTCAGAGCGTGCATGGAAGCCACCAACTCTGACAGCACTGACATGTTTGAAGAAAAAAGATGCAGCAGAATTTAAACACAAATAGTAATAAAGCAGGACCTTTATTAAGACGGAACATGAAATGATGTCAGCGTAGAGTGTGGACTGTACCTGTGCCAGGTATGATCTGTGTGGGCATGAGGTGTTTGTGGTCGTGGGGTTGGCCTTTCACACACTTCAGCCAGCCGTAGAGCTCTTTATCTGATCACACAGAGAGACGCACGTCAGCTGCTGTATTGATGCCATAATGACCATCAGCTGTATGACTGCAGACTGAGTTCTATCATGTCTGTTTAGTTCCTCGAAATGATTCAAGTGATGCGTTCTCTTACCTAAACACAGTTACTTGGGGGAAAGGTTATGCAGTAAACTGTACTTGTATATTTGGACTGTGGTAGTCGGGTGGATCCACGTCTGCAGGTCAGTAAGGGTCAGTAACGTGTCAGTAACGTGTCAGTAACAGGTATTTGTCAGGTAGCTTTCAGGTTGAGATTATATAATTGGATTTCCAATTTTTGCTGAATTAAAACTAGGAGTGTCAGTTTTGGTTCATTTAATTTTTGGTAGCCAGATTAACTGGTAACTAACGCACAATGTTGTAAAATATAAGAGGCGCTTTATTTTACCCCGGCGCTCCATTAGCTCAATAAGCTTTGGCGCTACATTTCGAAGCGCTAAGTCCAGTTAGAGGTGCTGGCATTTGAATGTCTTGGCTTTGCCGAAGTTTACAGCTGCATCAAGTCATCGTTAAGGGTGCTCCCATCGACCGCTATCAGCAGATGATCGTTATAAATAGTTTGATCACAAGAGCTGATCAGATGACGCATCGATTCTGAATTTAAAACGTTTCCAATAGGTATTTCTCTGCTTTCTCGTCTGCTCTTTAACTCGCTCTGAGAGCCATGCAGCCTCCTCTCAGCGCTGTGTGAGCTTCACATACCGACCGTTACTGTAACTACAGGCCGACATGCGTGAACGCTCCAAAGATATTCTCTGTCCCTAAAGGAGCAGTGTGTAGGATATAGTGTCATCTAGTGGTGAGGTTGCACATTGCATCCAACCGAACACGCCTCCGCTCACCACCATTCCAAGCGACTCGGAGAACTACGGTGGCCTTCAGGTGACATAAAAATATGAAAGACTCTCTCTAGAGCCAGTGTTTGGTTTGTCTGCTCTGGGCTACTGTAGGTGCAACACTGTGGAGTCATGAAGAGGACCAGCTCCCTATGTAGATATGAAGGGCTCATTCTAAGCTAACGGAAACACAAGGATTCTTAGTTTCTAAAGAGATTATACACAAAAAAACATATTTATTATTATTATATTGCATTTCTGCCAATAGATCCCCATGATTAAAAACTCATGAGTCACTGACAACTGTGTTTCCAGGACTAAAAACCTTGGAACCTAGACCAAGCCAGTAAAATACAAAAAAAGAAAGAAGCGATGACGGCACAAAAAGTCTGTATGACCTTTGAGGCTACCTTTATTGTGGGGTTGCATCCTCGCTCGACTGGTAGCAGTGACTTCCTGTGATATGAGTGCATGTAAGAATCCCTGAATAGCCTGCTCGACTGTCCAAACACACACAACTGACCTTTGGAGCTCCTTCTCTCCTTGGCCTTGTAGCAGTCCAAGCAGACAACAAAGCCACACTTCTGACAGACCCAGTGGATGTTGAAGAGTGTCGCCTCGCAGGCGTCACACATCTCTCTCACCCCCCTCACCGCTCGCTTCCACGCCAACTTGGCTGAAACGCACACAAAACGAGATCAATATAAAAACAACGTGGTCAGGGTTATTGATCAAAGTGTCAGCCGTTTTCAGACGACAGCTCACCATCCTTCTTGACCCAGGTGGCTGCGGTGTTCTCGGTCACAACCATCTGACAAAACTTGTCTCCTATGAAGCTGAGGATGTACTTGGCTGTGGTTTGGTCCAGTTGGCTCTCCTCCATCAGCCCGGGGACCCACAGGGCCAGGGCTTCGTCGTCAAACTGGTCCGGATTGGAGAAGCCATCCATCCGGATGACTCCGTTTTTACTGTAGGACAGCCTGGATGGGAGGAAACGGGTTACTAGCACACAGTTTGTCAAGTAAAGAGCAAAATATGAAAGTAACCATATAAAAGCATTATCTTGGACTCATAGATGGAGACCAATGAAAAGCTCTTTAGCACAGTGCGCACCACATAACATGTTTGCTTGATGCTTAATTTGCAGTTTGACTTTTGAAGCTGCTGAATTAAAGAAGCTTATAGTGACACACACCTTTACACATTTACAAACGTCACAAGTCAAAAGAGACATTCGTCAGTTACACTTATTATGAAGTTTGTATTATTAATGTACACATTTAAATTACATACACTAAAATGTAATCTCCTCATTTTCAAATGTTGCTTTGTGAAAAGATAAAAACGAGCATCCTTTAGTTCTGTTAACAGCGGATTAATCAGGGACAACACCTGCATTGATGTGCATGTGTGTTGACCTGCATCAATACAGTAGGTTACATACAGTACATGGCCTTCAATAGAGATCAATAAGATGGCTTCCTGAACAGACTGTTCAGGTAGACTTTACTCCACTATCTCTTTACACAGATCATACTTCTTTGCTGCTATATTGATGTTCAGAATGTTAAACACAGCTCCTATCAGTGTAGAACACCAGATGCACTGTATATGTGAGCAGCAGGACAACAGCACACTCATGCTAACCTTTTCATTTCAAAATCTTGCATCCATTGAAGTGCTAAACACAGTCCCAACAGCCCTTACTATAGCACGACAAGAATCATCCTCATGTATCTGTGTATTCACAAGCACTCTATAATACCTAAAGTACTCCTATGGCAAACAGATATAAAAATGTATTCATAAATATATATTATATAGAAATAAGTAATGCTCATAAGTATACAACACCCATGTATCAAAAAGGATTTACTGCCACAGAGCGTCAGAATGACAAGCTGTTCTCTGGATGAGCCATCTCCCACGTCTGTGGTGCCCTGACATAGCCCAGTCAGCTCAGGTGAGTGTTTACAGCTCAGACAGGGAGGAGGGCAGATAGGGTGAGGGAGATGTAGAGAAGGGGAGGGGGAGACACACCGAGAGAGAGAGAGAGAGAGAGAGAGA